CGCAGCGCAGTTGGCGAAATGGTCATCTCCATCGAGACCCAAGTGACTCCTCGCCTACCAGTGCGTGACGTACGCCTTCCATCAATGAGCAGTCGATCGGCCGAGGTGCGCGTTATCCCCGGCAGTGTCTACTTCAGTGGTCGCCTGGAACAGGTCCCCATTGGCATTGCTCAGCTCTACGGAAGTGAGGCGAAACAGGCTCAGTTTCAGGCTTTCCAGAGCTGAATCTTTGTCCGCAAGAACGCGTGATGTGTAGTCTGTCAGCCATTCTTCCTGGCTGTCTAACCTCGTCCTCCTTTCGTGTCGCCGCGAGGGAGGTGAGCTAAAGTAACTGACTAGGTTTTTCCCAACTCATTCCCCCATCGCCCCTTCTCCGGTAGATGAACAAAACAAAATTCTGATCGGCAGATCTTTCCACTGGGGAGGCTGTACTGCCTAACCCCCGCTGAATCGGCAACACTGTTCAATAAAAAGCGCCAGTCTTTTGTGCATTCACACCTGTGTGTATAGACCTGTTCTCGGCAAAACTAGCATCAACAAAACGCTTTCTTTACCATCTCCTTCTACGCCTACTCCTAGTCCCTCCTCCCGGTCCCTTGTGATCCCCAAGTCGCAAAACCCCTCCTTCGCAGTGTTCACTGCCCATGTATTTTTATGCGATGATTTTGAAGGTCTTTTTGTTTCCCAATGAATATGGCTGTTGCAGCAGCCACATGACGACTTGAAGCTCACTGCGACGTATGTCTACCTGCCGGGCTGGGTGAAAGGGGTAGGATTGAGTAGTGAGGCCCCAAAATGTCGTCGATTTATAATGAAAAGCTACTTTCTACTGTTCAGTAGGCCGAGTTTCCGTTCTTTTCCTCCACGGATTCACTAAGATGCAGGAGATGGTTCGCGCGCAGGTTTTCGTTCGCCTCGGAATCGCACTTTTCACCGCTAAGCATTGTCTCAGTGACCTTGTCCGGAGCTTGCAAACACCCCCCTGGTGGTAGTAACTGAAGTAAATAACACGCGCTCGCCGGGTTCTTGATGGTATTAAAAATGTACTTCAGTGAACTCGCCCAAGGTCAGCGAACACCCCCTAACTTACGCACGCCCGCCTTTGGTCCTGTATGGGTTCGTGGGGGTGGGGTTAATCAAAATATTAAGAAATGCACCTCAGTGACCTCGCCTAAGGTCAGCGAACACTCCCGAACTTACACGCGCTCATCGTTGGTCCAGTAGGGGTTCGTAGTGGTGGAATTATTAATATTACGGAAAGTTGGGCTACTGAACAGTAGGAAGTAGGTTTTAATTGTAAGTCAACGATATCTTTGGGGCCTCACTAATCAATCCTGAGGTGAAAAGTATCGGGCCTTTTCTATAGCTCAAGTTTGATCGAGTGATGGGGTTTAATGTAGACAACTAGGTAAAAGAGCATTATAAATGATGCAGTAGTTCCTTAGGGATGGGCATCTCGTTCTGCTGCTGCTAGCAGACGTGCTAAATGGCGTAATTAAATCTCGATCAAATAGGACTTGAGTAACCGAAATTGTAAAACTCTGGACCGCACTCCTCAAGTCGACTGGCAGGTTATAGTACTATTATCAGTGTGGGAGCTTTTCATCGTCAAACTGTTTGACTTTCGCCGTGACCTTGAAGTCGGTAAGAAGTGTTAGCTTATAAACGTCTGGCTCGGTGCATGAGACGATACAGTTCTTCATACCATTAATATGGTACATGTAACAGGAAAACTGTTAGATGAAACGGATGTGAAGGACCTCTCGGGGGGAGACTATTGATCTGCAGTGACCTAGGATGCAAAAATCAGTGGTTTGGGGTGCACACAAATAATGAACTCGGGAATTTCTAGAAAGGGCAAAAAAGTACAGACGAGCAGGACAATAGTAAGGAGTTCCTGATCAGAGCTTATAGAGCTGGCATCCAGTGGGCTAAGCTTGCTTGTCGTGGGTTGAAGGGCACCACAAGCAATTTTCTGGAGGAATGCATTCGGATAATGGCGGGATACCCCGTCAGAATGAAAGGCTGATTGACTAAGAAAGGACGGAAATTTACTGTTGTTGCTGCTAGGGCGTATCAACCTAAGTACAGAATTGGATACTTGCTTCCATCATCCCAAACATTTTCCCAGAGTGACCCAGGTAACTACCGAACGGCCGCAAAATGAAAATTGGTGGAATCAAATGTGACAGTAATGTCATGGGGGTCGAACCATTGGAACAGTTATCAACGATGCGTCAGTTATCATTAGAGTCACATATCGCTACAGGTAGATCATTGTCACAAACGACGATGAGGTCTCGATCACGAATGACATGAGGAAGGGAATATTTAAAAGTCTGGACCGCGTTCCTCCAGTAGACTGGCATCCGGGTGAACTTAAGTACTTCTAAGGGATCGGTAACGGTGGTTCTGACCGACAAAAGTACGGTTGTACACTTTTGTGCCTTGCACGAAGCAGAACGGTCTTTAGAAACGTCCACGTACTATGCAGCAAAAAACTAAGTTGAGAAAATTCCCATTTGAGTATTCAGAAATATAGTTGGCCAGTGTATGTAGGCTTTCGTTACAAGTTAAAACGTCTTCGTCTTCTTGTACAAGTGAGTCGTGGGTATAGGGGGGAGAAGACGATAAGAGAGGGCCGATTAAGAGGGCAGAGTTTAGTGGAGCAGTCTATGGGAGAGAGGAGGAGGGAGACAAACAGAGTGCGGACGACTGCATGCCGCTAAGCTACCTTTAGACATACCAGGCGTGGAGATTATAGGAGGTTCTTTTGTGCACACAACGCCGGCTTCATCAACCTGATCGTGGTCGCTTC